TACGCAAGATCATGGGCAGGATCTTAGGAACAAAAATATCTTGACATCCTGTACCAAAGATCTTGCCAAGATCTTTTCGAAAAAATCTAAGATGTCAAGATCTTGGTTCCATGATGTTCGACTAGGGATATCTTCAAAAAACGGAAAGATGTTGCTAAACTTCCATACTCTTTACTACAGTCACTCCAAGTTCCTTACATTCACACGAAACGCACTTTTCAAGAAAAAGTAAAACTTTAATACTAAATTTTGTTATTATAACGGTAACCAGTAACAAAACTAATTGTAAACGTGCTTTATCTCACGATAGTAATTTACATAAATAATCAATTTTATGCTTTAGCACTTGATTTCTAAGTGCGAGAATAATTGAAATCTCTCAACATCTCACAAGCTACACAATTTCATCCGATTATCCATTCAGAACAATCACATAGTTTTGCCACTTTCATAAACAATTTTTGGTTGCAGCAGTCATAAATCGCACTTATCTGAGTGTTGCCATGGTACCGTACCATAAAGGTCTTGATTTATCAAAGAACTATTACGAACTGAATGAACTATACCAGTAATCATCGATATTTATCTTTATTATACAGTCAACGCATTTATTATTTTGTTTTAATAAGTATTAGAATACAAACGAATATGTCGCCACTGTATTATAAAGTAGCAGATGACGTCTGCAGTAATATTTCATTGAACTAATAAATTCGCAATCGAAAAAGGCAGCGTTTTCAAAAGTAAAACAAGGATTATTGGAAAAAAATATTTTCTCTTTCTTTCTGTAAGAAATTTTGCTATTAAATCAGAAGTATATCGCTGCGCGATGAGATGATACGGTGTTAAGGTTCTGCTATTATTTGATTCTCTAAGCCGGTTCTATTAGAATGGATGCCGATGATCTATCAAAAACTTCCAAAGTTCGCCCGTTGAGCAATGTTCTTCATATTTTATTGTTTCTCTTAGTTGGTAAATTTTTGAAAACTCTATCATTATTTCTTATTTATGATATTTTCAAATCAATACATGTTGTTCTAATATTATTTATATGTTCTTTAATTGCATCTGTTTGTCTGTTATTTCTACAAAAACCTTTTACTCACACAACAAAAACATTTTTTGGCAATAATAAATCAAATATTTATCGTTTAGTTAAATATAGTCTGTTTTTGACAATTATTCGTTTATTATGGTTATTTGGTTTAACATTATGTGGTCCATTGCGAACCATTCTATTATATGAACATAGTGATATTGTTATCTTAGCATGTTTTACATCTTTATTTTCTACAGCACAACAAAAAAATACTTCAAGAATTAGAGGAACAGTTTTTTTATTGTTGGCCGTTTTAGCCATATTTGCATTTGACAATGATGATGTTAGGCAAAGGGTAAGTAGTTTGGAAAAATGGTTGAATACTGCATTGGATAGCACAGGTTACGAAGAAACTATAAATTTAAAATCATTTCTTTGTCTCTTTTCCTAGACAAACGTGAGAAGGATAGATTCTAATTTTCTAAAAGTGACTGTTTGTGATGTAGAAAAAACCTACCACTACTTAGTACCGATTAATGTGCTGGTTTATGTTTTTTATTCTATCTTTCCACCAGAACAATAATTTTACCTGTTTTTGTTTTCATTGTAGGTGTTAGATCATCCTGAAGGTTATTTACATCATCAAATATTTAGTCATTTATTTTATCGTCTAACATCCCTAATCGGAGTTGCTGATCATAAAGGCGGTGTCATTCTATTATTAATCGCTCTACTTTTACGTTGTGCAATAAATAATTTAAATAGAGAACTAGTTTTAGACATTGGTGGTCCAAAACGATTTTATGCATTAACAACGTGTATATCAACCATCTTTCTCGCACCATTATCACTTGTCGTGCTTATCACGAGTAAAATTGTACCCAGTTCAATAACAACAGTAGTAAATGATGTTACAACATCAACAAATTCTTTATCAGATTATAGTACCGATTTATTTTCATCTTACATTATACCAATTGTTTTAATAAGTATATTTTTATTTGTATTCGATTTTTATTGTGAACAAATAAGTGTAACAAAATTAGATAAACCACGTACATATAGTTATTCTACTTATACAATGATCCTTAGCGGTCTAGTAATTAGCCTGTTTTGGAGTGGAAATATATCGAGAAGCACTATTAACTTAACATCAACTGAACTAGGTCAACAAACCGGTGAACATGCCTTATCAGGAGGAGTCATATTTGCCATTATTATGTTATTATTTTCAACCGATCTTCTATCATATCCGTTACAAACGCGTTCTGGAGCATTTATCGGTTATTCATCTATTGGTAAACCACTATTTCATGCCGTAGAACGTTCATCATCACATTCATTTATAATGGTATTAAAATCAGGATTACGAGAAATATTAGCACAAAGTGATTCAAGAAGAATATTTTATTTTCTATGTATTAATTTAATGTTTACATTTGTGGAATTATTATATGGAGCATGGACAAATAGTTTAGGTTTAATATCAGATGGATTTCACATGTTATTTGATTGTACAGCATTAGTTATGGGTTTATATGCATCACTGATGTCAAGATGGAAACCAACACGAGTTTTCTCATATGGTTATGGAAGAGTAGAAGTATTATCGGGTTTTGTCAATGGTTTATTTTTAGTTGTAGTCGCGTTTTTTGTATTTTATGAAGCAATTGGAAGAATATTCGAACCACCCACAATCAATACTGATCGCTTGTTGGCCGTAGCGGTTGCCGGTTTCGCTGTAAATATGATTGGTTTATTTTCATTTAGTCATGCTCATTCACATGGTGGTGGTAGTAGTCATTCACACGGTGGTGGTAGTAGCCATTCACATGCTGGTGATAGTAGTCATTCACATGGCGGTGGTAGTAGTCACTCGCATAATAATTCTCACGATCATTCACATTCACACGGTCACGATCACGGTCATTCACATACTGAAACATCCCATGGCCATAGTCATTCATTAACGAATAATGCCAATATGAAAGGTGTATTTCTTCACGTACTCGCTGATACATTGGGTAGTGTAGGTGTCATTATTTCATCGTTATTAATTCAATATTTTGGATGGTATATAAGTGATCCTCTTTGTTCATTATTTATCTCTATCATGATATTTCTGTCTGTACTACCACTATTGAAAGATTCGGCAATGACTCTGCTATTAGAAACACCACCGGATATACAAATAGCGTTGGATAAAATTCTTCGTATTGAAAATGTACAATCGTTTTCAAATGAACATTTTTGGGCATTATCATCATCACAATTAATTGGAACTATTCACATACAAATAGCGAAGGATGGAGACGAACAAAGGATAACGTCACAAGTTCAAGCGATCTTAAAAGAAAATCAAGTGACAAATATTGCCATACAAATCGAGAAACAGGTATTTTTCAATCATTTACAAGGTTTAAATTCTGCACTTGGACAATTATCATATTCGCAAAGAACATTTTCATCTAATTGACAATAAGAATATCTAATATAATTTCTATTTTTGTTTGATCCACCGAATTTCAGTGTTCTCATCTATTGTTATTTATTTATTATTATATTTTGCTTCATTGGTATTGTTGTTTTATTTTGTTGTTTTGTTAAAAAAAAATTTCAAAAAGAAAAAAAACAGATTATATCAGACTTTTTCAACGTCATTATTTGCGATGCAAATAATCAAAAAAGTAAACTTCATGTGAAATGATCAAGCATCCAATAGTTTCTATGAAGAAAAAAGCTATGGGCGTGAGATGTGTATGACGCTAGACCGAGTGTTTTCTAAATTCAGGGAAACAAAGAAAAGGCTGTTTGCAGACCCATTTTTATAAGACCAATAAGCGTCTACTATCAATTTATGTTACCAAAATCTTTGAGCGTTTACTTTTTTTAGGGGCTACAAATTTTAAAAAAAATGGTATCAAATTGACCATTATCGCTCATATATTTTCGTCAAACTAAAAGAATCAAGATAACTGCAGTGCTTTAGAAAAGTAATTCATAAAAACATTATAAAAATTATGAAGTCATTTGTATGGGTAACGACGAAGTCATGAATTTTTTCATGTTGAGTAAAAGTAGCCTGAAAACTGTAGTTTTGGTAAACTTTTGAATTTTTGACAAACATCGTCATACGACTCATAGTGTTCGATTATTTATGGTCTATGTCGTATTTACGTTTACTTAAATTTTGGTCTGCTAATACTCATCGTTCTTCTTTTTTCTCTTTCAAATGATTGCAAGTGTCTATTAAACATTTTGAATAAAAATCCGCGACTGTATTTTACCTTTGTTCGTGTTACACGCAAACTCTCTAGTTTATTATTATTATTATCATAAAGTTCGGTTTGTTCTTCTATTTCTTGTTGTAACAAGGATGATAGTGTTCTTCTCCAATTGCTCTTTTGCAATTTCGATTATCAAACGTGTTAAACTCATCAACTCTTCCTTTTCTTCTTCATGTATAGGTTTGAATGAAATCAATTGTTTCTGTTACGCGAACCAAAAAGATGAGAAAAATGAAGAGAAAAAACAAAACGTTACATTATTATTATTTTTTGTTCTAATATGATTAACAGCCCAATTCGGTGCTCATATCATAGAAGATTAAATTTCATTTATATCTCTCTCTCTCTCTATATATATACAATCTTGGTAATAGTTATTTAAATTAAATATATTTTAATGATTTATCATTCTAACTTTCGTTGATTTCGAGTAAAATATTACTGACAGATATATCAAAGATTGTAAGTAAAAAGATACTTCACAATTACTGGTTATCAAGAGTTCAAAGAAATATTTCCTTCATTTTTGTGCAGACTAGAATTAAATCTGATCATGACTTAGATAGTGTCCGTACTTAACTTCAGAAATTAGTGATCATTTCTCAATGATATTTCTTGTCTACAAATGTCTGATTTAAAAAACTGACTCATATGGTATTTATTAGAACAGTTCAAGATGATTCTCTGTTTTTAGTAATAATGACAGGCAAACGTCGTAAACAGAATGATGTTCAATATTGTTGCAATATTCAATATGAATATGACAATACTATTTGTTTGAACACAAAATATTTTTCTAAATATGGCAAACCACGATGTTTGGCAAATCAACGTGAACGAGATCGTACACAGTCTGTAAATTCAGCATTCATTGAACTTCGTAAACTTATTCGAACAGAACCAATTGATCGTCGTTTATCAAAAATTGAAATACTTCGTTTAGCTGTTAGTTACATTAATCATTTACATTGCGTTTTAACAATATCAAATGTCGAACAACATCAATGTTCAGTGAAACAAGTAACCTTGCATAATGAAAAACAACAAATAAATAGTGTTGATCATGAGAAACTTTGTGTATTTTGTCATAGTGATGTTAATACTAATTTTTCACGTTATAAATAATTTTCACTATTAAGAATTTAAAGTATATTGTAAAAAAGAAATAAAAATCTATAAGAAAATGAAGATAAGTGAATGATAGTGGTATGAACGAAATATAAAGATGTAACAGCTATAATCGTTGATATAATTGTTTTAATTAATAAATATTTATTCAAACAACGGCGATTAATTTGTTGGCTCGTTGATATTAAGATTTTTATCAAATATGTGCATATCTTTCACAAGGGTATTTTGTAAAAAAAGAGACATTAGATATGAAATTTGTATAGCTGATGTTTGTATGCTATGGCATCATTCCTCTAGAGTCTTTGCCTCTATGTAACCTTTTAGATGATCTCAAAATATATAGAATCAAGTAAACAAAAAAAGAGTAATTTTTAATAATTATTATTACACAGTGCATATGAAAAAGACAGAAAATTTTGTATGCTATGAGGATTGGTTAGAATGTCATCATTTGTCTTTGGTGTTTGTCGAAGTCTTGTGTTTTTTGTTGAATTATTTCGATATGGAGCTCGATTGTTTGGCATAGGTAAATTTGCTTGTGTTTTACTACCATATGGTAGAGAAAAATACGATAAATCCGTGCTTGTTTGTGATTGGATACAAGTTGAATTCGTTGTTTGTTTATTCAACATACATTGTTTATTTGGTAATGTAGGATTGCCCATACTCGTCGATACTTCAATATCATCGTTTATCGAGCTGATAAGACTAACATTTTCATTGTCGACTGGCGACATTTGAACATTTGGTCTGGTATAGATAAATGGTTGACAGCTATTTGAACGTGTTAATGCTGTACGATGTTTATTTTTCTGTTTATCTTTATATTGTGCTGATAATGTTTTTGTAAATGCTCGAAGCCAACTTGAATTCCATGAATAATTTTCAATAATAAAAAATTTTTCATCATTTGTATGACTAATATCTCTATTTACTTTGGAATTAAATTGATTCGATTGTACGATAACTTGTTTGTGAGGTACTCTTTCTCGATCATCTTCACAACAAATACTCGTTTTTGAAAATCTAATAGTTACTTGTTCCGGTTTGACTATAGGACAATCAATCTAAAAATATAAAGAAATACTACGATCCATATGACATACTAATACTCTGATACTTATCAATAGTCAAATATCATCCACAGAATCTCTTCATATATGAAAAAAACTATATAAAAAGAACTTTATACATACGATTGGTGTATCCTGTTGATGTCGTTGTGTGGTTCTCTGTGAAATAAATTTGTTGTTTAAAGGATGATTTTTCAATATTAATGATTGTTGATCATATTTATTTTCGATAAGAAAACATATGACACTTTTAGCTTGTGATCGAAAACGTTGACTTATCAAAATACATACAAAACATTTGTAGGTATAACTTAATGAAATGAATGATTGTGCTTGATGGCTAAAATTCATCAAATGAACATATTGTTTTGAATAGGGTGATAATGACATCAATAAAGTATCACTTAGTCGAGCGGGCAAATTGAATAGAGCGTGAAGTATGCCGAGAATAGCGGCGATATAACACGATAATATACAATAATGAGACGAAATATGATCAGATGGTTGCATTTCATTGACAGTGTTATTTGAATCACTTTTAACACCCATTTTTTTTTCTATTCTATGTTTTTTGATTGATGCTGTACGACAAATGAGAAATCCACTCAAAAATAGAATGAGAATACATGGAAATGCGATACCAAGTAAATTATATCCATAATTTGTCACTTTTAACATACGTTTTGATTTGCCTTCCATAGCAGTTGTTGAACATACACCATCAGCACCTGGCTGATAATCTTGTAAATCTATTTTTTTTTGATATTTTAACACTTCGATCGGATAAATATTGTAGACAGAAAATATAAATATTAGAAAAACGGTTGTATATTTTGCATTAACAAAATGAATACATTTTCTGTTCCAACATGATTGTTCAGTTAGTATAATACGATTAATAATTAAGAATAATAGTAACCAAGTTGTTAGTAATACACTCATTTTTGCTATATAAGTGAAAAATTTACAACAAAAATCGGATATATGAATGAGATAATGTTGGCCGGCAGAACGTTCACCATCGATATAACTTAAAAAATTATCAACAAAATGATAAATAATTAATAATGTATCAATTAGAACAATTTCAAATAAAAAACGTTCAAATGAGCCTGATGAAAGACGATTTCGACCACGATTAAAACTAATTTTAATCAATATAACAAGTAATAAAATATTACCTGGTAATCCAAATAAAGCCGATGCAATGGCAAAAAATACGTATTTATCATAGTTCAACTCGATAAATAAATCATCAATTCCAGATATATCTTTATCATCAAGATATGACAAAGTTTGGTTAACACTTGACGTTGTAAATGTTGACTTTGTTAAAAGTTTAGATAAAATTGAATGATTGTTAGATGTCATCTTGTAAATCTAAAAATTGATTAGCTACTAATTTATAAGTCTGATATTTTAAAAATTCTCTAATCTCTCTTTGATTAAAAACCACTGATAAGTATTACAAATCTATCTGGAATGAGTGAAGTAAAATATTGATATGAAGTTGAACTACTCCAGAGTTCTTTTTTATAAATTATTTAATGATAAGTATACTTGGTACTTCGATAAAATTGTCATCACTTTTTACTCCTTCCTTGTAAACTAGGCTATTTTTCTCTACTTTGTACCACTTCATCAAATATAAATGATTATACGTTTTTTATTTAATCGGAAACAGTTTTTCTTTTCTGATTTATCTATTATTTTTTTCCCTCGTGAACACTCATGAGTAAACATGCGTCCACAACACTCGTATGGCGAAAAAAAGGTGTATTACAGCAGTACAATTAGTTTTGTGTATTAATATCATATTCTATGGTCGTATTAAGTTTAGCATTACATTGAAAACATTCACAATTTCGAATAAAACTTGAAAAATCAATATTCATCTATTATCAAGGTGAAAAAGTTTGTTTAGTGGTGGACGAAAGAGGAGTTTTAATCAATAACAAAAGTTTGAGTCCATTTCTTGGGAGGTCATGAATTAACTAATATATTTAAACAGAAGAGAATTTTACTCAATGATTATAATCATATGTTCCTCCTATTTTTGTATTAAGTCATTATAACTGACAACAAAATAATGATCATGCAGCATTAAATGGCCTGAAGAAACACAAACAGACGTGTTTTAAATGTGATAAAAATCATCGGTTTAATTCAAATTTTAAAAAACAATTGTGTTACGCATACTGTAATGAACTTCATATGGGGGATAGTTCACAATGCTCGACAAAAGTCGAAGAATGGAGAAAAGAAAAAATATGATACAAATGAATAATAATAATGATCATGTTCAATTCAAACAACGATAATTAGAGCAAAACCTACGGATTAACCATTCTAATAGACGGCTCTTTAGTTCGACAGAACCGCTAGCAACAATGAATTGTATGGTTAATAATGTCAATCAAAATGATATGCTATTTTTTCTTGACAAATTAAATGAGTCAATTTCAGTAATGGCAAACAAACAACAAGAAATGAAAATAAACATTAATACGCAATTTTCATCATTAGATTTTATTTTAATCATTTTTTATAATGAAGTTGAAAATATCAGAGCACATATAGATAAAATTATTTCTTCATTAGTGCGATTATTAGCAGATCATGTTTATAAACAAAAAGAACATGTTAGAAATTAGGAAGATAGTTAGAAAAATTGGTCGTATATATAATGGTTCTTTTCCACCTTTGGACGTAAACAGTTCAAATATTTTGATGTTTTTGATTTTATTAATTTCTGTTCACGTGTCTATTATATTTTTAAATGGAACCCATCACAAGAAGATGGTAAAGGTGCATTTCTCAAAATAGTTTTTGGAAAATTCTCTATATTTTCTCAGTGTTCTAAATGTCTGTGGTGGTGTTAGTAGCGATTCATTCTCCATCCCTCCTGGTCTTGTTGTTTGTTCTCAAAATACTCCTGATCTCATCGCTGCTGACATAGGTACCCTTTAGAACAGTTTTACCTAGTTATGTGCTACTCTCCTCCTAATCAGTCTCTTCTTCTCACTATTTTCAACAAATGAGTTGAACGTAATTTAAACACTGTCCACCTTGGCGATCTACATGTCAAACATTTTTCCTTAATACAGTCCTACTGATTTAAGTCTTTTAGACCCGTACCTTTCCAGATCCGGCCGGAACAGCGATGATCTGAACCTTATCTGTACCTATATTTTTAAAACTTTTATATGCGTACTCGTATCCGCGAGTATCCAGTACTCTCAAAGTTTTCATGATTCAAGAAAGTTTTCTGCAAATATCATTAGTCTGAATTAGAGTTACTAAACTACTAACTAACTATATGTGTGCTTAAACAAAGTTTTTCTTTCGCTTGTAATATCCTTGTAAATAGCTTTACTGTGTTGAACCAAAATAGAGTCACATCGAACAAGATTAATCGTCGGAGCAATGGATTCCAAATGATATTGAGAAGCAATGAATTCGACAATACAAGCTTTCCTTTCCATAGTACACATGATACAGTAAATCTGTCATGCGTGCTTTCTAATTTACAAGCAACTCCAGATTTTAGATTACCACTCCAACATATATAGACACAGTTTAGACTCATATCCGGTTATTGCATCTAATTAAATAAGTTCTTTTTTGTTCTCCGCCCGTTGTTCTCAACTACTCTAAAATTATCAATAGCGTCTATCCAATGAGACGTCGACTACACACTGGAATGTTTTTCGGCTGCTGATCTCTTTTGCGTCTATGAGTATGATGTAAATGAGTTTGACTGTGCGATTTGCAAAAAGATGTATTATTGCTGTTCTTTTGCTCTCTTATCAACAGTTTTTGTTAAATGGTAATATGATTTCTTCTCAAAATTAAATATATGATGTGATTAAGCAGTTCTATGGAGTTCCGTTTTTTAGAGCTCGCGTCTAGGAAAAATGCGTCTAAACGCGTCTTGGGAAAGCGCTTTTAAATGCGTCCCTGCAAAACGCGTTTAAACGCTAGCAAATGATGCATTTTCGAAGCGATTAAACGCAACATAAAACGCGTTTTTAGACGTGTCTACGATTGAAAAATATTTACATGGGTATCCTTTATTGAATTTGGAATGAATAAAGTAGATACAAAAATTAGTTACGAATTAAGAAATTTTCTTACCTCAACTTTTATTTCTTATAATTACATTAAGAAGGCAATGTTATCTTTAAAACTCAACTGATTTAGATGGTGTTTCAAATCAAATTTGTTTTTAGAACTACTTCCACTTTATCATCTTCCTACCCTCTTTTTTTGTTTGAACTTTTTTGCTTCTATTATAACCCATGCAGTGAAAATCGGAAGAAAATCAACGATTAATCTGTAATGGCTGACACCTTTGCACGTTTACGTCTAGAAGTCTGTAGTGACTCAGTTTGAAGTACCGTACAGGTACTTCGAAAAAGATAAGCAGTCTTCATTAAATCGATAATTAATCACAATTTTTACTACAATCGCCAAGAAATCGGGATGTATGTTTCGAATCATACACCGATGGTATGACGTTCATGCCATTGCAATCGACAATCTACCCCAATACACAACGATTGATAATATCACTCATAGCCAAATATAAAAATATTTTTAAAAATTCTCGCTAAAAATTCCTCTATCATTGCTGACTTTTTTTAACTCAAAAGTCTGTTTTATTTCTTCGTGAATACTGTTCAAATTGTGTCTGACGAAAAAACTATATCTGATAAAGGACAGTCAAAGAAAAATATAAAAGATACTAAAGATCGTCTCTCTCTTCTGGACGTCGTATTGTGTTTCTAAGAACACCTTTATCTTAATTTATAGTAATTTCTATATTTATAATCATTATCTTTTGTTTCTTCTCTCTTTTCCTCGTGATCAAAGCAATTTTAATTTTTTTTCTTTTTTAAGCTAATTGGTTTTATTTTTTTATATGCCTAAATCGCTGTTCGGTCACCGACTACTTCCTAAATGCAACCGAAATTTAAGCCCATTAGTATAAAAGTGGTCGTAGTTTGGAACGAGTAAATTTATATTATTCTGCGTTTCCAAAAAGCGACCACTTTTTAACCCTTGTACTACCAACCAGAGTCTATTTAGACCCTGTTCTAAAAAAAACAAGAAAATGAGATGAAAATTTTTTTTGCATGGATCGGATCGAAGTATGAAATACATTCTATGAACGCATTCTATTTGTTGTGTCTAAAATAGGCTTGGGAGTACAAAGGTTAATTGAAGAGTAATCAACAACCGTAATTTAAAATACAGAAGTAGAACAATATAATAAAAGGATGTATACTAAACATATATAATTAAACAGTAGAAGTAGAAACATATATAATAAGAATTGGTGACTATATATTTATGTATTATCCAAGACTGTTCGAGAATGAAGAGAACCGATGGTTTTGCATTTGTACAAAAGAAAGGAACAAATACTCACAAACTTTTTTACTTCTTCGTTGTGAAACTTGAGTATGGATTTATCAGCATTAGTTAATACCCGCCGTTTCAACCCAGTTAATACAGTTTGAACATTCTCCGGTAATTTTGGATCATGTATTGGATACCCTAGCCAAAATCCTAGACAATCCTACCATAATAGGATCCTAATTGAATCCGAGTGACCGGAAAGTTCTAGGATTTGATAGAATTTGTCTAGGATTTTATTAGGATCCTATTCTCTAGGACACACCCTAGAACTTTCCGGTCACTCGGATTCGATTAGGATTCTATTAAGATCCTGGTAGGATTGTTTAGGATTTTTACTAGGGTATTCAGTGCATGATCCAGAATTACCAGAGAATGTTTTAAATTGTGTCAATTTGATCAAAAAACGTGTTTTAGAAGAACTAACACCTCAAATTTATGATCAACAAGTGAAAAAACTAGTAAGTACTTTGTGAGTTTTCATTAGCAAAGCTACCGTTATATAGTTGTGTTAGATAATGATTCTAATTTTATAGATGATGATAAATAAGAATCTAAAATATAACTGTTCTGTTGGTTGTGTTCCTTCTATTATAATATATGTGTGTGTCTAAGTCCCAATTACAGAATGATTCGAAATTATAAACAGTGTACAAAGTATTTGAAAAGAATAAACTCTCTATTCCAAATTGAGACCGCATTTTATTTGTACAAGAAACAAGAGAATATATGCATTGCAATTTAAAACCGCTTTTTCTACTATAAAATTTTCATTTCCAAATTGAGACCACTTTTTAAATCTAATTAATAATCATAAAAAAGAAGTTGCCTCAACCATGAAGCTTCGAAAGTGTGACTTTTGTCACCATATTTCTATATTTATCTTATCAATAAGACAGAACTCATGATCAAATTTTGCAACGACTAATCATGTTATTAAATATTGTGTT